GAACTCAACTGTCACTTCCCATTACCATTAGAGATGGCACCTGTGCATTTATAGCATTTTTATATTTTAAAATGTACTTTCTTATACAGTCTGATTGAATATGTGCATTAAAATGTATTAGTCGGTTGAATTTGATCAATAAATACTGCTTGGAAATGCTTTTTAAAGACGATTTCATAAATAAACTAGAATCATAAATTAAAACCCTTTCTTGACTTTTTATAACTCCATAAAATGACACAGTTGTTTTTAAAGTCAGTCCTGGTTGGGCTCTATATTTTCTGTTTTTTCATTGCATGCAGTATTTTTTCCATGAGAATTTGTGGGTTTGTCCCAGTAGAAATAAAAAGGTTCTGACACGGTATGCTAACCATGTCTCCTCTCTTCTTTTTGTGCAGGTAAGTTATGTCCTCCTGTCACCCATCTATTGTACAATTTATGTCAAAGAACACATAAAATAAAAAAAAATGTTTAAGGGAGAATACAAACCAAAGCAGATGCGCAGGATATTAACCTGTATCTAAGGCCAAGGATGTCTCTATCCTGTATTTATCATGCTGATTTACTGTATCACCAAGCTCTCAACCCAGTGTTTAAATATGCTGCCAAAACAAGGAAGAAGAATCTGGGCATATCTGGGCACAATTATGAACTAAGGAAAGAAAGAAAGAACAAAAGCAAGACTGAAAAAGCACAATTCACTCTATAAAGGTAAACCATTTCTATTAAATCCGGCTGGTCTGTTGTTTTTCAAATTGAGAACACTCCAAAAAAGCCAAGTCTTTAAATTTAAGGCATGGACTTGGAGTTAATCATCATCACTGTAGAAGCCAAGACAATTAAATGTATCTAGTAGTGTTTATACTGTAGATTGGAGGTTGGCTTAGCAGAACTGCAACTACCACTGTGTCTTATAACCTCTCTGCAGCTGAATAAAGAAAGACATTAGCATCTTTCACTATTAGTTCCATAGACCTCTTCATTCAATAGTACTTTAATGTACCTTAAACTGTGTTATGTCCAAAAAGAAAACTGTATCATGCGATGCTCAGAATTAAGAACAGATATTTAGCCCAATATTTAGCACTATCTGAAGTTTATTTCTGCCTTAACTGCACATTGAACTGCATGGAGTGTCAGGAGAAAGGACTGGGAGGATGACAAACACAGGTTTCCCTGTGCTTCCAGGCTGTGTTTGGGGCTGTCAGTCATACAGTATTTCACTCAGTGCAGCGCAGGGTCATGTCCTTATCGTGAGTCTACAGTAGTATTTTATGGCTATATCGAATCTCAGTACCTTCAACTGAAATGAGTTTGTTGAAAGCTAGTGTCAAATGTCAAATCACAGTAAGAACTACTTCATCTAAATCGTATGACTGCTCGTGTTTAGACAACACTGTAAATTAGAGAACTCTGGCTTCTTGGGGTTGACTGAGCTACAGGATTTTGTAGGAAAATGTTGGTATCTGTAGCAAAACTAGTTTCAAATGATACTCAGCCCTGGACCAACGTGCATTTGACTTTACCAGGCTGATGTTGATCTGCCCTGTCATCTTCTCACACCACCATAAAAATAATGAACAAAACATGCTACTGCACCAATTTAGACAGCAAATAGAGATGTCAACAGCCACCACTTAACCCGTTTCATATGTATTCTGGCTGTTGTAAATTTTCCTGTGAAATTTAATTTCTCTCCCACCAAGGATATGGATACACTGAAAGAAATCTCTATACTTTATGAGCCAGTCGGAGCCGTAACCCAACCACGAAGTCCTCTACGGTGCAATATAAAAATCTGCACAATAAATATCTGGCTGCTTAGAAACATCCGCCTGAATGCATCTGTGACAAAGTGGTGTTAACTAGTGCCTTTGTGAAGAAAAGAATTAAGATTGTAGTATGTCAATGAATGAATGATATGGTTATACTGCAGCTAATTGATTATAGGTTATATTGCAGTCAATTAACCAGTGAGGATTTCCTTATTAAACTAATGTTCATTATTCTGAATAGGCGGGTGTGGCGAGTCCCACAGCGTTACTTAAAGCTGCACGTGCAGAACCGGACATACTGCATTTTATAAATCAATGCTCAACAATCATGATCATGTGTGGACACAAACCCAACACACAGGTCAGTGGCTTTTGTGACTAAAAGCCACAGGGAGCTCTGTGGTGTGATTACTGTGAGGATAATCTTTAACACACATGCTGTCTCTGAGGGGAGCTGTGGAAAGTTGGCTCAGAGCAGCCGGCCTTCCTGAAGAAACTGTAAGGTAGGCTGCTATTTTTATAAAAGGCTTTACATTTTATTTAAAGAAAAGTGTTTGTGGTCATTTTTTCCCTTGGTACATTGCTTATAATGGACATTAGATGGGGGGGGGGACGATGCAAGATTATTTTTATTATATATATTTTTTACTTCACTTTGTGCAGCATGTCTTATGCATGACTCAGTTTGAATTCTATACACCATCAGGTGGTCTGTTGCTATAGGACTGGGTGTAATTATTTTAACTATATATCCAACAAACCCTTCCACCTTCTGCGGGCATGAAAGACGATGTCATGATTATTGCTTTCAGGGTGATGATAATGTGCTATTCGTTCAACACCAGGACTCTTGTTGTTACAGTTCAGTTAAATCCACGATGTAGAAATTGAAGACGGATGGAGGATGAAAATTGATTTAATCTGGTTCCTGTTTTCTTTCTTCCACTTTGTTTTCAGTATATATCTGAGAGCTTAAAACCTCTTTCATGCCATGCCCAAACCTGTACTCTATAAAGTACTGTTTTTCACATCTGTTTCTTTCTTAGTACAAAAAAAGAGAATAGCCTCTTTCTTTTATATGCAACTTTTTCCATTTCAGAGATATGTTGTGACATTTGCACTGTTTGATTTTTATTTAATATTCTGAGACATTCATCATCTGCTTGGTCTCCAAAATCCTCATGTGTAAAATATATTGTTCTCAGGAGACAGCTTACAAACTAGCACAGAGACATCCTTTTTTCCTGTCAAGACATATCTGTTTGCCTAATCTGCTCAAACTTAAAGAGTATTGTCCTTTTACAGGGTTTAACCTGGTAGGAAAACATCTTTAAGCTTTATTTTATTTATTAAACTGAATTGTGATTTTGTTTCACTTCATGGTTTTACTCAATGAACAAACTGGACACGAGGGCAGTGTTTGTTACTGCTGTTGTGATACAATAATTCACCCTTGATTTGATTTTGATTTGACTCCTAATAATCCTCCATCCCGTGTACACTCCAAAAAACTAAAATTAAAACATCAAAATTGATTAAGGGCTCCTACATTGACATATCAGTGTTAGCTTGAAACCACACCCAACTTTTAATATTTCTCTAATATCTGACAAAACAAAGAAAATTTAAATGTCAAATGTACTGTTTTACACTACTACCTTTTATAAAATGTCAACTCTTCCTCTACTATATACGATCTTAAACTTTGAAGTTTCCACTCACCTGCATTACATTGATTGCTAAAAGCAGGAAAAGCCCCTGAAGGCCAGTTCTTTAAAGTGACTCACTGCAGCTGGTATTTGTCAAGATAAACCGTAGCTGAGTTTCCTTGAAAGAAAAAATGTTAAAAGGCCAGTTAGGGTTAATCGACTTAAGCAGTTATCATTGATTGAAAAAGAGCCACTGAAAGAAACTTTTCCTTGAAAAGTCATCATTTTTCTGGCAATAGAAAGAAAATACAAATGATGAATTACATGTGTCCTGGTGTTAGTGACAACAGATTTCTCAACCTTTCTTTGTGATACTGGAAGGATTTGTTATATTGTATTTAGTTTCATATGATGTTTATTTAAAATGTTCTATATAAAGTATATATACCCAACACTGTGCTGTATGGTAGCAGATTATTATAGACATTATCTGCACTAATTTAGTGCTTCTTCAAAATGCGGTTTTCATTATTTTTCCGGGCTCTGATGCCTTTAAAGCACAGGTTCAAAGACATCTGAATTGAATTTAAAACCAACCACTAACACCATGAAATTATTTCAAATGAATGGACACTTATTTCCAGGCAAATATAAGTACAGCAGAAAATTCCCTTTATTAATTTTTGGCCGAAATAATGGCCAGCACCGATTTGGTTATTTTTAAAGAACTGAATAAAATTTGTTAAAAGTTGACAATTAGATTTAAAACTACTGTACTTCCAACCATTAACGCTACCGCACTCCTTGTTTTTCTGTGCCTAAGACGACCATGCATAAGTGATTAGAGGCAACAGGCACTTTAAAATTTTAGGGGGTGGCAACTGATAGACATCAACCTTGAAGTCTGCTACAAAAAAGGCTTTTTCAGGGCTGATCATATGAGTCGCCCTCCTCCCTCGAGAGAGAGGTAGAGGTCTCTCATCACAGAGCAGTTTAGCGTGGTGAGATGGTTGAATGCTAGGACTTCATTAAGCCCCTCTATTGTTAACATCTGGGTTCAGAAGAATGGCTCTTTCTCTGGTAAATGTTGCCCTGGCTTAACAAGGGATTTTATTACACCATGCAGTTGACATTGGCAGCAGTGTCACGTCTGGCAATGGAAACCCCTCAACTGTTTAGGTCACAGGAGATCAATCAAAGCAGCCTGTTTCCCCGAAGCCTTCAATTCTCACTAGATCAAGGAGTTCAATGTGTATCTAATTTTGTTGTTGAATCAAGGTATAAAACATCAACTATAAGGCTTTTTAGTGAATACTGGTTATACATCATTTGGAGCCGATTTGCACTCCTCTCCTTATTTTTCCGCCCTGCACCTGCATCCCCTTTTCTCTACGCACATATTATATCTTTCCTCACAATGCTTCCACAAGAATTCCCAGTCTGGAGTGCAGTACTAATCTCCCATATCGCTCCATTTGCCACTTTGCTTCACACCATTTCCTCTCTCTCAGTCTCCATCCCCCATCCCTCTCTGTTTTGATCCCCTCCCTGGTAGGGATGTGGCTACCATGGCAACTGCTGAATCATCCTCCACCGTCTGCAGTCGTCCTCTAATGCCATCCCCACATGCAGCAAGGCCCTCCACCGTCCAGGCCCGCATTAGCATATTGATCGGACGCTTCAATTTGCTATATTAGTTGCAGCAGTCTCTGGAGGTTAGTCTCGGAGGACTCGGAGGTGCAGTTGGCTGAACAGCAGCCATTCGGATGGGTAACGTACCCACTACAGTGAAGCACTGCCTGAGCTATGAGCAACTCATCCAGGACTACCCATGGCTGAGACGCTGGCTGCTGCAGGAGAAGGTGGGCGTAGTTTTTCTTATTTCTAATCTGCTGCACATGCTCTGCCACATGACTCTCTCATGACAGAGAGGCTGCACAGCAGCCAGCCAGTGATGACAGCGCTGATGCTGCATGCTGCTTATATAATCGTCCTCTTCAGTTCAAATTCTGCTCTACTTTTACATATTACTGTGCTTTTTAGGATGCATGGGATTCTCTCTATGTGAGAATGGTAAATAGTTTTTTATTTTAATGAATTGATTGTACGTGACAAAAGATGCAAACTGGATGCTTTTGTTTCCTCTGTGTTGTGTCACTTCACCAGGCTGCCTCAGCAGGATTGTTTGATGATGATTCAACATTTATTTAATGCATGTGAATAGTGTTTATGTTCAAATACTGCTCACTGCTCACATGCTAAGATTGTATTATGATAGATTTGATATTTACATTGAATCCAGTAAGTGAAGAAGCATCAACAACACTGCATGTACCTTATAGCTCTTTGTTTTG